GTGGTGTTTTGGTCCTGTTGCACCTTTAGGTCTTTCCGTTTTCCTTTGGGGTCTGGCCCTGTTGTATTGTGGTGTTTTTCCCTGTTGCCTTTGTGGGTCGGGCCCTGTTTTACCTGGTGTCCTTTTCTGTTGTACCTTGGGTTCTGGTCCTGTTGTACCTTGTGGTGTCATGGTCCTGTTGTACACTTGTGGTGTCTATGGTCCTGTTGATACCTTGTGTTGGTCATGGTCGCTGTTGTATCTTGTGGATGTCATGGTCCTGTTGTACGCTTGTGGTGCCTTGTTTCTGTTTGACCCTTGTGGTGCCAAAATGGTTCTGTTGACACTTTAAGGTGTTCGTCTGTTGACCAGAAATAAGTGCCTGTTCAAGTACACTTGTGGTGTCATGATCCTGTTGTACCTTGTGGTGTCATGATCCTGTTGTATCTGGTGGTGCCTTTTTCCTGTTGTACCTTGTGGTGTCCAAATGGAGTTCATCAGGCGTCAGTAGATAAGGTGATCGACTTGTGTACAGAAATAAGTGCTGTAATCAACCCAGAAAAGGCAACCGTGCTGTGGTGTTCTTTGGACAACAGGATTGTTGTAGCTGATGTTCCAAACCTTAAAAAAATGGCAGGGACATCAAGAAAGACAGCAGACTGCAGTACCTGGGAATCACCTTTGACAGAAACTTGCCTTTCAAGGATCACATAAAGGTGGTTGTGTCAAAGGCCCAAAAAGGTCTTAATGCACTACAGATTTGGCAGCAACGGACATGGAGCAGAGAATGCTGTTCACACTATACCAGCACTTAATCATCTCAGTGATTGATTATGGACTGTGTTTGCTCACTGTCTCGAAGAGTCAAGTAGTGAAACTGGATTGCATACAAAATGAAGCTATTCGGCTGATCCGGGGATGTACAAGAGGCACCAGAGCTGACAAAGACCCACGGTTTTGTGATTAATTTGGTCTCATACAAGTTTTTATTCCTAGCAAAGGTCGTATACTGAGTAAGTTTTTTGTGTCTGAACAGCACGTATATCAGAACTTTACAGAATCAAAAGTGTACCAGTAACATTTTTATATTGTACATAGGAGATATCTTTAAAAACAATAATATTTATGTACACCTTATAGAAATCTGTTTTAAAAATGTAATAATTATCTACAGTACCTAGCAGGTCTGTTGCAAAAAAAAAAAAAAAAAAAATCTTTACAGTTAATTATTTTATAGCCTGCTTGTATGTGTTATATTCTAATTGTAATTGCTGAATATTTACCATTATATGACCGGCTTGTGTGTGTTGTATTCTAACTGTAATTGTTAAATATTGACAAAGGTGCTATATATCCCCAGACTGAGAGATGGCATCAGAAATATTTTGACAATTTCGAGGTTGGGGAACCAGTACATGCAAGCCAACAAGCCGTGGGTTCTTGCTAAAGGTTCGGCTGAGGAGAAGTAAGTTTGTCTATTGTTGTTCAGTGTGTGTCCTTCTTCTTAGTATTCACCAACTAGCTGTAAACTGTGGCGGAAAGTTCTCGTTGTTCGTCCACTTCTGGATTTTAATCTTTTAAGCTTACTTCTTTGAAGGTTGTTGGTTCTTCACCACTCAGACAGATGTGTTCCCAGTTCAGAAAATTGCCGAATTATTATTTTTTTTTTTTTAATGACATGCTTCTTAGGGAGACAATGAGTCTCTCCCCCCCCCCCCCCCCCATTCCAAATGGGGCTCTGGAACCACACAGGGATTAGGTTGAGTTCAGGAGCTGGGTAAACAACAACTGCACTGGTTAAACATCATGTTTACTGCCTCTGGGGATGGAGCTGCAGTATTGCAGATGCTTGCATGCACTCTTGGCTCCAGCGTAGGGGTTCAGATACCTGTCTGCCGAGTGTGAGTTCCGTGGGCCTTAGTTTGGGGGTATTAATAATAGACTGACTTCCCCTAACAGTCATATCAAAAAAGGCAAATAATAGGAGTTTGCAGAAAATGGATGTGTTGGAGAGAAAGATATCACAGATATTGCAGCTTAGCTGGGAACCACAAGTCAGAATGCCGCTTATTACTCTTTTATGGCTGAAAACATCAGAAAAAGATAAGGTCAACTCAGCTACACAAAGATGGCTGCTAGGGAATATTCTGGATAAGCAGCGATGGCCGGTGGGACATTGCAGTACTCGTTAGGTTTCAAAAGATCTATGAAATTTGTGGAATAGGCTCACTTTGAAGTCGGAGTGCATCTGCCTGGGAGGTGAGGAACCAACATCTGCATAAAATAAGCCAGATCTGTGAAATGGATGAACATGCAAAACAGGTTCTGGAACAAGACTAAAGTCCAGTAGTGGGTGAACGAAACTTCTGCAAGAGTTACAGCCGGTGAAAGCAATGAAAAAAGAAAAAGTCTATGAAAATAAGGATTGCACCATATGTGTACCATGTGTCAAAGCATGAAATAGATTTTTTTTTTTTTAAATCTTATCAATGGAAATTGATCCCAGGCTATTGAATTGACATGGCATTGAACTAAGCTTTAGCTCAGTCTGGTGGTCAGCATCATGGTGGGGGTCAGCATAATGGAAATAAGAATAGTTGAAGAGCTTTGGTGGCACAGGGGCTCGATGCTTGCCCTTCAGCTTAAAGGTCGTAAATTGAAGATAGTTTAAAAAAATGACATTCATCTGCCTAGCTTAAAATGGGTGCTAGTTAAGTTGCTTGGAACTACATGCATGTTTTGTCATTTAAAATTAAATTTAAAAAAAAATGACTGCATACATAATCTGTGATCACAGAAAAAGAGCGGGCTCAGTTGTGAGTTTATGTGCGGAGGTGTCCTGTCTGCTGTCGGTCTTGCTGCAACCTTACATGCCGTCAACAAGTGCTATCATTCAGGAGCAGCTGCATGCCCCTCCGACAATCAATGTCATCACTGGCGACTTCTTGGCCTTCTTACCTCCTGGTCATAAGATTGGAACAGTAAGTACATTCTTAACCCCCCCCCCCCCCCCTCCCCCCCCCCCCCCACCTGTGATTTCCGTAGTTGCCATATTTTCATGGCTAGATGCTCACCTGCGGATCGGAGGGTTCTTGTTCAGGTTCTGACGAATCGGAACTGTTTTCATAAATGACCTTGGCTCCCAGGTCAGCCCAGCCTTGAGTGGGTACCAGGTGCAGTACTGGGGAGTAAAGGTGGCCAGTATGAGGCTGACCACATCACCCACCAAATGCTGATTGGTTTATAAAATATAGGTCTAACCGTATACGCCCATCATTGCTAATTTCAGTTTGCATAGCTTAAAGTTTATTATATAACTAGAATATTCTTGCATTGGAACCCAAAAGGTGACGAAGAGAGTGTAAGTCCTGGGTGAAAGATTTCTGTGACTACCTGACCTGGCTATGAGCAGTATGTCACAGAAATCACACAGTAATATTTCTTCCACACTCCATATACTTGCTGGTCTGACAGGCATGTGTCACCATACGACCGTCATTCGCCAGTAAATTTCTTTAGTTTTCACTGATTAACAAAAAAAAAAGGATAACAGAATGCTGCTGCTCCTCTTTGAAGCATGTCAAAAGTGGAGCGGCCATCTTTAAAATGTCATTAGGAATCAGTGTATTTGTCTGCACCAAGGTGTTGCATGCTTAACACTCCTGACATCCTTATCAACAGTATTGTTGGATTACAAGACTGGCATAGTATTGGTAATTTATACAGCACTTTTAATGTTTTTTTATAACCAGAATTTGCTTTCACCATATTGAATGAGGTGATAAAGACAGTGATACTGGCCATGATCAAAGCAGAGTTAAAAATAACACATAGAGATGAGGAATGGATAAAAGGATGGGAAAGACATGATGATGTCCCTTGTGGCATTATAGGTTAGTCACCCCCCCCCCCACACACACACACACACACACACACACACACACACAAGTTAGCTGAAGTAAATGTGTCTCTTGCTGTGACCATGCTAATTTCTACTAAATATTTATTCTTCTCCAGCCCAGTCCACTGTTTCAGAAGATTGAAAATGCCACCATTTCTGAGCTGAAGCTCAAATTTGCAGGAAAGCCAGAGGATAAACCCCAACCAAAGGTATAGTTTTGTGTGATTCTGTTTAGACCTGATTTCCTGTATGTAAAACTACAATTGTTTTGGGTATAATTTTGTTTATTAAGTAAATGTAGCTCAGGTTGGTATACGGAAAATAATATGTGATCCTTTTCTTCTTCTTCTTCAGCTCGTTCTGCTGTTTTATTATTATTTTATTTGTCCTTCTGCTTCCATTTTCTTCTGTATCTTCTTTTCCATCCTCCATCTTCAGATCTAATCTAAATAAATTTGTTTCTTTAAAAAAAAAAAAGCAGTATTCTTGTTTGGCTCGCAAACAACACGACAGTTTGCCCCTAAAAATAACTTATATATACCATATTAGTTTTCCCCTGTCTGCATACCTACACACTCAGCTCCTTTTTCTAAATAATACATTATTATTTACATTTCTGAGACATGATATTTCTGGAAAGGATGCTGTTAGTGAGCCAGTTTTCCTTGATGTTTAGGTCATGCAGAATGTTAACAGTTTTTCTTCTTAGTAAAGACAAGTTTAAGGTGTTTACCTCATTCATCTTTCTCTTTAATGTTTTTGTAGCCCGGCAGAGGGAAAGATAAGAACGCCTCAGCTAAAACTGGTGCAGCAACACAAAACGGACAGCCCGGGCCTGTTAAGAGTGAGAAAATCACCAACAGTGCAACAAATATAAACGGTCTTTTGGCACCAAGACTAGAGAATATACCAGGAAACAGTGTAGATGTAGACAAGTTAAATCAGGCCGTCACTGATCAAGTAAGTCGCATCTGTAACTTTTCTCTTACCATATCAGTCTGTCTTTCTGTACGGGTTCCCAGTCCCCATTTTGATGAGAAAAAGAATTGTCCTAGTCCCGAGGAAATAAGTGTGTCAGGTGCAATCTTTATATAGTAAAGGAGTGAGTTTGAGATCCATTGCATCTGACTTTCATTGCGGAAGTGACATCTGATTGATTATGGTCTAAACTGGAGGACTAGGCATGGCAGAATGTTAAGCTTTAAAGATATTTTTGCCTGCTAGTGCAGTTTCCACATAGTCCACTGTTTCGCTGCCTGAGCTAATGGGTTGAGTACTGGTTGAATGCTGAGTTAAGAATCGACATCACAGCACTCTGGACACTCCCACGAGTGCTCTGTCCCCATCTTCAGCAGCAAGCCAAGAGTTCTAATTACAATGGCACAAATAAAGGTCTGATTTTATATCCGTCCCATCCTTTCCCTGAGTGTTGAGCGTCAGCCAGAGTACTTGGTGCTGCCCTGTGAGCTGTATTTGTTTTCTTTTGTGGAATGCCTTTCTTTGTGCAGCTGTTGAGTCATTGTATTCACTATGGCCGGCAGCCGGTTTACACATGGGCTGGTCAAATATCTTGTGCAATAATTATACGACGACAAACAGCACTTCTGGTGGCGACTGTTGGCTTTAGCACCTCTAGCAACTGCCATCTGCATTTACTGCATGTACCTGTTTGTGAATTGTGCTGGGACTAATTGTTTGTTCACTATTTTTTTTAATGAGACAGTGAGGGACATTAAATTTGATTTTCACTGACACAGGGACGGAGCAAGTATGGGGAACCTTATTGCAGTGAAGTTGAAACCTCAACTATGACTGAGAATAATTGATTTTTTTGTTTTAATAATTCAAGCTTCCGATCCATAAAGCAGTAAAGATTTGACATAATAGTTGAATACAGTATGTCTGAAAGAGTACATCAAGGCTGAAAGACGGTGTTGCAGATGTATTGCAGCCAACCATCATTGGGGAAATGCCGTCAGCTTGATTATTTTTTATATTAGTCATACAGGCTTCATATCCAGGCAACAGTACTGATTTGATATATAGTTTAATATTCTAAGCTCGGCACCTGCTTGTAACATACTATTAATCTGAGTTGTCTAATCCTGCTTTTCTTGACCTCACCAGGGGTTAAAGGTCAGAGAGCTGAAAGCAGCAAAAGCAGACAAATCAGTGGTAGATGCTGAAGTGGCCACCCTCCTTCAGTTAAAGAAAGACTTGGCATCAGCTCAAGGTCAGAACCCAGATGCTGCGACAACAGGAAAAAAGAAGGGCAAAAAGAAATAGTTGTGAGAATGTTGTTGGTCGGTTAGTGTTGTCAGTGTCAAGTTTTAAGTTATTCCTTATTTCTGTTGCTTGTTATTGAACAATCTGTTTTAAACCGGTTTTGAATATTAGTTTTATGAAATTCTTTTTTTTGTTCACTTGAAATAAATTATCGATATCTGCAGTGTTGCCCGGCTGTCTAGCGTAGTTGGCTAAAACGGATTGCGCGGAGACCAGGTGACGAACTCCTTGTGGTCCGGGTTCAATCCCGGGGTAGGCAGGAAAGCTACATTTCTCCCAGATTTACGGTATTTACAGTGGAGTCAAGGCCGAGAGGTTGCGATATCCATAATAGCGAGCCTAAGGGTTAACAACTCATGGCTTCTGGACACTAAAACAAACAAACAATATCTGCAATGCTGTCTGTAGTATGAACTTCACTGTCTTTTTTACTTCACTTAGCGGCCCGTAAAGTTTGGCTTCTACTAGAATCTTTCTTGGCTAGGAGTTTGCCTGCAAATGTTGTCTTTGGGACAGTCTTGGAGGACATGATCTGTTGTCTCAGCTGCCAGTTAACATGTGCACATGACTGATTCATATTCGTAAATTTGGTGAACATGTGACTGCAAAGTCAGTTGTTGTGCCCTGTAGTTTTATGAAAATAGTTTTTGTTTTAACTTTTACAATGTTGTGTCATGAAATGCTGACATAAATTATAAATTGGCTGTTTGTGAAGTAATTCCTCATCTTGTTGTGTCATTGTTTAAAAAAAATGTTCTTTAGAGCTGCTCTAATAGTTGTCTGGCTGCGGTGTGAGAGTCGCAGCGTGGAAGAGTTTGGGGCCTCACCGCGTAATATTCCCACAATAGTCGCAGTGACTCTGTAGCCAACCTCCATTGTGGAGACGGCCTTTCAACAACAACAACAAAATAAGTAATGTCCTTCAGTTTGAAGACAAAACTCAGAATATATAAGAGCAACATTTTAGGAATACTATTATACAACAGTGAATGTTGGAAAATTACAGCGGGAATTACACATAAACTTGAGACTTTTCAAAATAAATGTTTAAGGAGAATACTACAAATATTTTGGCCAAACAAGATCACAGATGAGGAACTGAGGAGGAAAACAGAATGTGCAAAACTGGCAAATGTTATTAAAGTAAGACGATGGAGATGGCTTGGACATGTTTGCAGAATGCCTTGTGACACTGGCAAAAACAGCTCTCCGGCGGACAGCAGATGGGAAAAGGAGACGTATACGACCTAAGCAAACCTTGAGAAGGACAATAGAATGGGAAATAAAGGGAATGTAAACTGACATGGGATACCCTGGGCAGAAAAGCAGCAGACCGGCAGCAATGGAGGTCACTTGTGAATGCCTTATGTGTCAGCAGCGACATGAAATGGATATAGAATATCCTTCAGTGGGTCCAGTAGACACTCAAGTTAGTTGCCTCTTGAGGACATAGTAAACATGCCCCAGCATTTATTTGCTTTTATGTATTTTGAGCAGATAATTTTACATCCAGCAGTTTGCCATTGCTTTCTAAAGTTATGATGGGCAAACTGTTGCAAAAAAATCAGTGTAAAGTGGTCTGCCGGCAAATTGCCTGCTGTTGACTTCAATGAAGACTAGACTTCAAAAACATGTACTGTCACCACTGGTTTAGAAAAAAATTTAATATGAGTTGGGTTATATTTATGGCACCCTGGACATATCCAGCTTCCCCCCCCCCCCCCCCCAAGCACACACATCAGCGTGGTTAAAAAAGTGCCAATTCTATGCTGGTTAACAAGACTTCTGGTCTTAAGTTTCAGGTGCCCCTCTTTCCTGGTTGTGCCAAACTTTACAACCAGTTCTTGCAAGTCTAGTGTGGTATTTACATTTAAATGGTTGATCATGTATATAGGACAATAAAACAGAAAATAACTACTTTGAAATGCCCTGTCTCTGCAGGGAATATTCCAATAATGTTGGAATAAGACCATATCTGGATTATATTGACAGACGAAGAATGAAATAGTTCAGCCATCTAGTGAGAATGCAGCTGGACCCAGCTGCATTAAAGACTTCTTACAGCATAACATCCAGGGGAAAGGTAAGGGGAAGACCAAGAAAGGGATGGATTAATGGTGTAGCTGAAACCTACAAAAAAAAATACAAATAAATCTCCTTCCCAAGCCACTTGAGAAGCGCTAGACAAATACAGAAAACCACAACAATAGGCTACAACCCGGTATCATTGAGACCATAAAAGAAGAAGAAGAAAATGGATGGTGGTCCCCCTCTTACAGCATAAGGCAGTTCCGTCAGCACAGATAACCATCTCATGCAAGGCATAATCATTCCCCCTCTTTGTTACCAGTGCCAGACATTGTCACTCACAACAAATCATAAAAGACAATTAGTAACCATAGAAATGAGAAGTCTGAAAAGGACTGCAGGAGTCACCGGAAGAGTTAAAATCAGAAATGAGGTCATAGGAGAAAAAAATCAGCACAGAATCAGTTCAAAATTATGTACAAAGTTAGCTAATCAAATGTTTGCCGACTTAAATGCCTTGTGGCACGATACCATTCAAGGCATTAACTAAAAGAGGAGAAGAATGCGAGCACAAGGTAGGCCAAGAACAAGATGAGGAGATAACATATGTCAAGACAGCTAGATGAACCAGAAGCAGAACCTTATATCTCTCTCTCAAGAGCAAAGTGTGCAGAGCAAGCTAAGGGTAACCATGAAGGACCTGCTACTGACATGCGAGTTCATAATGGCAACCCACCTGATGGTCTGATCTGAGCATACGAAACCGAATACAAAGAAGAAGAATAACTCTCTCAGCACTCAAAGCTGTTAAAGAGGAAATAAAGAAGTTTCTATAGTAATGCAGTGGTTACCACACTTACCTATGAGCCTTGTGGTCCAAGGTTTGAATCCCCATTGAAACAGTTTTAATATTGATTTGGAATTATATAATGGGTACCAGAACATTTTATTTCTATGAAGTAAAACTGGCCAGTATGTAATCGACTGTATCATCAGCTATGAAATGCTGACCAGTAAGTAAGGCTGGGACCATATGACCCAATACACTTACAGGCATGGAACTATGTTCTCTTATTACCTGTGTGGGTTTTGAGGCTGCAGTCTTGGTGGAAAAAGAAAACAGACAAGAGAACCGCACATACAAAACAATGAGAATAGACCTGCTACCGCTGTAACAAAATTTGAGGTTTGAGCAACGGATCAGCATCATGGCACACGGGTAGTAACCTACAAGTGCTCCCTTCTTCCAACTCTAGTCTGATTCTGAAGAAGCTCAGCACAGTGCACAGGTTCTGTAGCACTAGCAAGGATCCTGAAATACTTTGGGTAGATTTTGCCCGGGCAGCGCCGTTCTGCTACTCTTTTCAATTTCCAACTGCCAAGGATTTTTTACGTGCGCAACATCACACATGTGCATCCGATCTCACTTCCCAGAGACCCGGGGGGAATTACTAAAAGACCACTTGAAAAAAATCCCAGCCCTTACCGGGGAATTTAACCGGGAACCTCTAGCAGTCGAGGCGGACACCATACCTCGAGACTACACAACCCCCTACAAAGCTGTGACAAGCATGTTATTAAAAGTGAGTAACCCTCCCCCCCCCCCCCCCCCCCATTCACCCTCCTGAAATCGGATATGTTGGGTCGAAAGGCGAAGATATAACAGCCTTATGATAAACCACAACACAATGTGGTAACAGCAGAAGAAGATCCTGTTCTTCCTTATATGGACAGAGCAGTCTGGGCACTGAATTTGTAACAATGGCTCAGGGTTTGGTCCCTCCCCACCAAGTAGTAACACTGTGAGTTGATCTCCAGCCAGTAAAGGATTGTCTTAACCTTGTGATACTGGTGCCTGAGCGTTTCTTTAGAAGGAAACTTCTTTGGGAAATAGAGCTCATGACCTCACTTAATAATAATGGTCTCACCTTTTTCTGCTTCAATAGTACCCCCCCCCCCCCCCCCTTTTCCGTGTGGGTCAGGGCTCAGGTGTTTGAGATGGTAATATATAAAGTTAATGGAGAAGTTAATGTTTACTAATGTAAACATGTTAACATTTGAAATGTTAATGTTAAAAATATTTGAGATGTTAACGTTTTAACATATGGAGATGTTAACATTTGCGATTGTTTGACATACTAACATTTTAACATGTTTGCAATGTTAATATATAAACATGTTTTAAAAGTTCATGTTTACACATGTTTGGGATGTTAACTTTTTCATATGTTTGTTGTGGACAAAAAATAATAGATCTAGTGCTCCTTAAAGACATGTTGTGAATGGCGACTTATCAAAGGTTTGCTGAAACTGGATGTGTTGGGCCTAGCTGTAATCTACAACACTATATCCTCCCTTTAAGAGCAAACAGAAGAAGAGGAAATATCTGGCCTGGAGTTACCTGTAGCTTTTGTTTAGAAGCTGAGACAGATAAAAGGAAAGTAGAAAAGTTCATGTCCGCAGTGTAAGTTTACCTGCTAGACTGCACCATCCTAAACTAAACATAAAGGGACCAATGTAATTCTTGTCTCAGACAGGGAGTCATTGTAAGTTTTGTCTCAGACAAGGAACAGTCATTGTAATCTTGTCTGAGACAAAGAGCAGTCATTTTAATTCTTGTCTAAGGCAGGGAGCAGTGATTGTTAGTTTTGTCTGAGACTCAGACAAGGAGTAGTGATTGTAAGTTTTGTCTCAGACAAGGAGCAGTCATTGTAATTCTCGTATCAGGCAGGGGGCAGTCATTGTTATTATGCTGGTATTGCATGACTAAATGCAGATATTTTCAGGAGTTGAATCTCACACAGCTGCTCCCTAAAAGTGTTTTCATCCCCATTTAAACTTATACTTTATTTCCCTCGTCATCTGCATCATTGTTTAGTCTGTCAGTTTCAGGCTAGAAAGAGACATTTGGTGAGAGGTCTAGTGTTTTTGCCTTAAAGAAGGTGGTGTTTACAGCTTTACCAAGAATCAGT